AAACTTGTTGAGCATTGACATGATGCTCAAAGGAAATACTCATTGGAGCATTTCAGGTTTTCGGATTTGGTATGTTCAACCAGTTAAGTATCTGCAAATATTCCGAAATCTGAAAAAATCTGAAATCCAAAACACTTCTGGTCCAAGTATTTCAGATAAGGGCTATTCACCTGTATGTTGAAATGTTTTCTACTTAACTATACTTCTTCCATTAACATGTTAAGTCAAATCTGCTAGTTGTGAAATGCTGACTCTAATTAGCAGGGTTAGTGTCAGGCTCCACAGGTGTAAGAGCTCTGTTCTCCACAATGTAAGGGCTTTGTTCTCCACAGGATAACCCCCACCTCAGCTGCGAGTCCCAAGTGGGGTCCGAAGGACACCTGCAGTTCTGGCCAGACATCTACAGATTTGGAGGTTCCTATGAACCCTTGGTTTTGATAATAAGACCCACAGAACTCAAGAAAACACTATGCTTAATGATTACAGTTTTGTTATAAGGGATACACATAGGGCAAGGTCTGGAAAGATCCCAGATGCAGAGCTTCCATGTGCTGCCCCTGGGGAGTCAGGATGCATCATTCTTCTGGCACATCAGAGTGTTCAACAACCAGGAGGCTCCACTGGACTTCAGTATCCAGAATTTTTATTGGGGTTTATGTAGGCATGATTGATTAAATCATGATTAAACTCAGTCTTCCTCCTCTCCTCCACATGGTTGAGTGGCTTAAAGTGCTAATTCTCTAGTGACATGGTTGGTCCGTCTTGAGACCAGCTCTCATCCTGAAGCCATCTAGGGGCCCACCTTGTATCACCTCATTAGCATAACAAAGACACTTCTGTCTCTCAGGAAATTCCAAGGGGTTTTGAAGCTCTGTACCAGAAAATGGGGACAAAGACCAGATTTATTATATTAAACAAGTAGGAGGAAAAAAAGCTTGTGATGTCACAGCTTTCTTTTTAAAGTTTGACTTTTAGGGCCGGCCCGTGGTTCACTTGGGAGAGTGTGGTGCTGATAACACCAAGGCTATGGGTTCGGATCCCTATATAGGGATGGCCGGTTAGTTTACTTGGGAGAGCGTGGTGCTGACAACACCAAGTCAAGGGTTAAGATCCCCTTATCGGTCATCTCTTTAAAAATAAATAAATAAATAGAGAGAGAGAGAGAGAGAGAGAGAGAGAAAATGAGTGAGTGAGTGAGTAAAGTTTGACTTTTCTTTCTTTAGTAAAAATTTGATAGTGAACTCCCAAATGATTCCAAGGTGCTTGGTCAATGTTCCCATTGATGCTTTAAATTTTTCATCCCTATAAAATATTTAATAGTAAAAATGTCTGTATATTATAGATGGTGAAACAGTTGTTTTTAGTTTTTGTGTTCAGTGGAAGAACTTAGATAAGGAAAATCAAGAGTGCTACCTTTGGTCCATTTCGCATCTGTTCCACTAGTTATTTATTGATCTTAAAGGTGGGACTCAATCGAATGTACTCAAAGACTATCTATAAAACAAGGCATAGTTGGGAGGATTAATGATTTGGCACCATGTTGCCAAAGGAACCCATGCTTTCCACATTCTAATCTGAAAAGGCTAGTTGTATAGTTTTCCTCAGCTCTCTGAGCCTTCCAGTGAGAGTTTGATGAATGCAGTATGTTGACAGATGTCCACTTCACTCAGTTCCTGTAATTGGCTGAGGTTAATGTTAAAGTTCCTGTGATCAGTGCAGCAAGCCGTTTCAGAGTTGCTTGGTGTCTTTTTTAATGTTCATGAAGGTTTTGCAGTCCCTTAGGTCCCAGAGACACCAAGCTGAAAGATGGATTTCTATTTCGGTTACTGCACTCATTTGTTGTGTAATTGGACAGAGTTTATTGTCACAAAGGCTTTTGCTTCTGTTTGATGATAAAGGTTATTTATGGTCTCCATCAAATTAAGTTACTTTCTTAATTTCTTTTTTCCCCCCCTTTTTAAGGAAAGGAGCTCCAACAACTTCCCTCATTAGTGTAGCTGTCACAAAGTAAGTATGTGTGTCTCCTTTTCCTGGATATAGAATAATCTTGAAAGCGTGATCAGTAGTGCAAGTGTCATTTATGTAAGCATGGAATTTGGATACCCTCTTTTTCCTTTGGTTGTAATGACATTTTTATGTCATTTTGCAGTTTACAGAGCTCTTTCAGAGGCATGTCATTTAATTTAACTCTTTGGAAACATGCCAGATATTGACATAAGTGTTGTACTTGAACTCTTATAGACATTTTTTGTCACTTGGAAAATAAAAACATCTCCAGTGGAGAGGATATATACTTGCAGTTTCGGGGCTATATGTTATAACTATTCAACAAGTTAATGATTTTGAGAATAGATTTCTACTGAGCTAATACTTTTATTGCTTCTGCTTTTAACAAAACAGAAAGAACTGGTTATTATACTAATCCATTGATTCATCTAATGCTATTTAAAATGTATTGCATCCTTTGGTTAAAATATTATTAGTGTTTTATTTCTTCATATTTGAGAACCTGACAGCTCTGATTAGGTCATAAAATCAGTGTTACTAATTTAGCATTCCAGAATTTAGAGGATATATAGAATAGGGATGCCTTTTCATGTTGGGTTTTGATGCACCCTTGATGTTCCACTGGTTATATGGTCTTTATTCTCTGACTTAAGAATTGCTGGTGGAGAGCTGAGGTAGAGTCTGTATGTAAGAGGGTTCTTAATGTTAGAAGATCATTTAGGAACAGAGACTTAGCAATTGAAAAGTGAACTGAAAAAAAGAGAAGGTACTATGTGTTAATATTTAACTGAAAGGAATATGTCATATTGAGGAAATATATACTCTAAGGCAGGGGTACTCAAATTAAATATTAAACAGAATATATAAAAGCGATGAGATTCCTCAGGCAATTTTTTTTAAATCTTGTTTTTTTACAATAACAATTAATGTGGACATATTGAACCGACTTGCCAATTGTTTTTTTTTTTTTTTTTTTGACTTTTTCGTGACCGGTAAGGGGATCACAACCCTTGGTGTGGTGTCGCCTGCACCGCGCTCAGCCAGTGAGCGCACCGGCCAGTCCTATATAGGATCCGAATCCGTGGCGGGAGCGTCGCTGCGCTCCCAGCTCTGCACTCTCCTGAGTGCACCACGGGGCCGGCCCCTTGCCAATTGTTATTAAGTAGTTCGTTAAAATATTGTTAATTTTTTTTTTTTTTTTTCCTAAAAAGATGACCGGTAAGCGGATCTCAACCCTTGGCTTGGTGTTGTCAGCACCACGCTCAGCCAGTGAGCAAACCGGCCATCCTTGTATAGGATCCGAACCCGTGGCCTTGGTGTTATCAGCACCGCACTCTACCGAGTGAGCCAGAGGCCGGCCCAACATATTGTTAATTTTGATACTAGTTTTGCCTTAAGGCTTCTTTCCTCCTTTTTTTTTTTTTTTTTTTTTTTTGCTTTAAACAGTTTGAAATGTTCATATGCTGGTTGATATTTTTCAAAGAATTGAAGATATCTCATTTTTTAATGAGAGACAATAAATAAAATAATACCAAATTTTGCTGGAATTAACCAAGGGTGGTGCAGTGCCCACTGCAAGTTCTTCTTAAATTCAACTAAATATTCGCACTCATAAGGTGACCACAGGCCACATATGGTACTTCTGTGTATTCAGGAGGATACAGGACAGGAACATAGCTTGCCTAGAGGATAGCATCAGGTATTCCTCTTCAATTGATGTCCTCGTAGCAGTCATGCAGGTGCAAGAGGAGAGCCACATGGGACAGGAGTGGGGTTATCCTGGCTTAAAAATCTAATGCCCCGCAGGAGCCCAAATCTCTTATAAGAGTTCTGTAGGCAGAGCTTTCAGGTTCCACAAGGGGCATGCAATTACAAGTGTCACTGTACTCAGGGAAGGCCAATAAACAAGGTGTTCTCACTTATACTTCACAGATAGTTATCCCAGTTCAGATGCAATTGACCAGCCAGGGGTCATTTTTACCATAAACCATGTTGTCTGAGTAACATTGTTGACACTGACATTTATCAGGTAACCTGGGTAAGACAGCTAGAGTTTAACCCAAGCTTAGATTCCCATGAATTAGGGGAAAGGGTATTGTTAACTTTTACCCACAGGCAAAAAGCAAAATCCCTGCCATTAAAAAGAGTATAGTCTACTTGTGCAGACAGTATGTATACCTGAAATCCCTGGAAGGAAGTATACAACCTGAAACCTGGTCCCAGGCATGGCACCTGCAGTGCATGATCCTTGATTAGATCCTGGACTAGAGGGAAAAAGAAAACTGCTATAAAGGACATTTTTGGGAATGGGGAACTTATTTAGGTATCTTTTCCATGGGAGAGGGTATAGCATTTAGATCTTTTTGATATTTAAACAAATTGGAAAGTAGCCAGTACGTTGGGGTGATTGATGAAAAGAACCTTCGCTCTATTGGTCTCTGGAAACTCCAAATGAATTCTGTTTCAGAGAAACCAGAACTACTTGAGCCATTTATTATAACTCAAAATCAGATTTAAGTAGCATTTAACCGTATTTCTCATTTTAGTGGTAACTTAAGTCATAGGAGAAAAAGCTTTGCTTGTCCACAGTGTTTTAGCCTGGAGGGCGCCGATATTTTCTGACTCTTAATGGTTTGATGGGAAGCCCATGGGCGCTGGTCCTGAGCTTCTTTAGGGTTCTGTAGGGCAGGTCCTGCTCTGCCTCCTTTGCCATCTACTCTAGGTTTTGAGGACCTCTTCCGCTTCTCTGTTTATCCTTCACTATTTCTCTAACTGAGCTCTGTTCTGCAGATGTGTTCAAATCTCTCATTTGCTGATGGGGACTGCCTGTGATTTCCTTTATCTTTCTAGGTCTTAGTCCCTTTTCATTTCCTTTCTTATTTCTTTATCATCATTTTTATGAATTTGTGGTGGGAGACAAAAAGCCCTGTGATCAATTTGCCATCTCAAACCCGATGTGTCTTCATAATTTCATAGAAAATACTTGAAAACAGTGATTATTTGAACTATGTGAGCAATGCTTTAAGTCTTCTATTTATGTTCTACACTTTTAATTTTTTTCTTAAGATTCTTTTAGGAAAAAATATGAGTCTTGCTTTTAAGTGTTTGAAAAATCTCACTTCTAATAAATGAGGAGAAATCCAGGTCTGAAAGTTGGAGGGGTGGGAAAGAAAGTTGTAAAAGGAGAATCAAGTAATTGTTCCCTTATTTAGCAATTGCTTTTTCCTTTCTAGGATAATAGCCAAGGTTCTGGAGGACAACAAGCTGCCTGGTGCAATTTGTTCCTTGACTTGTGGTGGAGCAGATATCGGGTCAGTTGATAGGCCGAGAGCACCTTTCTGTTGAAGGGACCTCAGGTTGATCAATGAGAGTCATCTTTGCTAGAATAACGAAACCCAGCACAGCAAAGAGATGAGAATGGTTCTTTGGAGTCATTAATATGGACCTGGTTGGGCTCTTACTTTATTAATGTATAGCCTCTATTGGAGGATGACTGAGAATTGTCTTTTTTTAATTTTAATTTTAATTTTAATTTTTTGGCAACTAGACAGTACAGGGATTGAACCCTGGATTTTGATGTTACCAGCACCATGTTCTAACCAACTGAGCTAACTGGCCAGTCCCTGAGAATGGTCTTTTTAATTGCCCAGACCTACTAAGAGCCGTCTTCAAAAAGTTCATAGAAAGTTTTGCATTTTAATTCTATTTTCCTGTGAACTTTTTGAAATACCCTCGTATTCGTAAGGTGTTTACATCCTGAGATAACAAACTGCTAGAACAGTGGACATCCATAACTTCCTGATACTTGATTTATAAATGTGTTTACTTACAAAGTAAAGCTGTGGAATTGTAGTCTGGGGTCTCCCTTTCCCCTGAGAACCTAGCCTGTTGTCTGAATTCTTCTGGTCACCAAAAAGGGAATCCTGGGAACACAGTGTCCTGGGGTCTCCCTTTCCCCTGAGAACCTAGCCTGTTGTCTGAATTCTTCTGGTCACCAAAAAAGGGAATCCTGGGAACACAGTGTCTTTTTTTTTTTAATTGTCATGTAATTCACACAACATTAAATTCTCCCTTTTAAAGTGTATAGTTTAGTGGTTTTTAGAATATTCACAGTGTTATGCAGCCATCACTACTCTCTTATTCCAGAACATTTTGATCACCCCAGAAAGAAACCCCATACCCCATTATTGGTCACTTCCCCATTTCTCTCTTTCCCGCAGCCTCTGGAAACCACTAGTGTACTTTCTGTTTCTATGGATTTTCCTATTTGGGATATTTTGTATAAATGGAATAATATAATATGTGGCCTTGTGTGTCTGGCTTCTTTTAATTAGCATAATGTCACAGCCTCTTTAAGCTGGAGCTGACTATAATTGCTCTGAACCATGATGAAAACTGAGGCTGTTATTACCATCTTAGACTTTGAAGTTCATAAGGGTCAAATCTTACCACCCATACTGGTGTGGTTAATATGTTAGTCTCCTTCCAACACTTTTACCGTACTACTGAAGGAAGGTACTCCAAAAAGTTCATGGAAAGATACATTTTATTTTTTAATTCTACTTTTCCACAAACTTTTTGAAGTACCCTTGTACTTACTGGGAAGTTTCAAAAAGGAGCAATAAGTTGCCCCTTTTTTCGTAGAGATTAGAAAATATGAGAAGATACAGTTGCCACAATGCACTGTATGTGCGTAGTGAAGTATTATCTAAATGTCATTTAAAATATGAGTATTGTATCCTTTGACCTACTCTATTCTTGCACTCTGGGCATCCAGTCCTTAACACTGACTTTGGAATAGCTGAAATAATTGTGATAGTGTATACAGGAGTGTGTAAAGTAGCAGCTGCCTTGAGAATCAGTGGTCCTGTTTGCTTGGCTGATCCTGGGGGGCCTATGTAGGTAGTTTAATCATGCTGTCCCACTACATTAGGCTGATGCCGTGGCTGCCCTGTTGGCTCACATTATACCCTTTGAAGCACCCAACTATGAACAAAGACATTCATATCAATAATGTCTATCTACGTTCCTTAGAAGTAACTGGAGACCCTGGCGCAGCCTTTACAAGTCATAAGCTGCCATGGTGGATATGGATACTTTAGGATGTTTGCCTACAGTCTCCTAAGTTTTTAATTCTTTGTTGTTTTGTTTTGTTTTTGGCGGCTGGCTGGTATGGGGATCTGAACCTGTGACCTTGGTGTTATAAGGCTGCACTCTAATCCAGTGAGCTAACTGGCCAGCCTTAAGTTTTTAATTCTTAAAAAGGAATTATACAGTAGGGTAAGGGTCTGCAAAACAACTGGAATGCTCAGCAAGGAAATGCTAAGATCATATTATCCAGTCACCCACTCAGGACAGGAGGGACTTTCTTCCTTAGCTAACAACTTCCTCTATGTTGTTTCTGTTTACAAAGAGCTCACAGAGCAGGTTAGCCAGTTCTGCTGTATGGTTTTCCTTGTGAAAAATGTGTTTCATTTTCATGAAGACCCTTCCCTTGCTCCCCAGGATAGACTTCCTTGTAGTTTTTACAGCCTTTCCAAAGGCCTGTGTTAGTGCTTTTTGCCAGGCCCCATTAGGTGCTGCCGTTGCTGGATTTCTCTGCTTAGGTGACCGTGTCTGTTCCCCTGCAGCACAGCAATGGCCAAAGACGAACGGGTGAACCTGCTGTCTTTCACCGGTAGTACTCAGGTGGGAAAACAGGTGGCTCTTATGGTGCAGGAGAGGTTTGGTAAGTGTTGGCTTTCTAATGAGGATTTTTATTTATTT